TCGTCGTCGTCGTCGTCGTCGTCGTCGTCGTCGTCGTCGTCGTCGTCATCGTCATCGTCTTCAACATCATCATATGCTACAACGTCTTAGCATGCTCATCAACATCCCGGCGCTCATCAACATCCCGTGTCCGTGTGACCGTGGATTTTGACTGTGCCAGTGAAGCTATTGCGTCGTCTTGATCATCGTCGTGATCATAATCATCATCATCATCATCATCATCATCATCATTTATCATCATCACTATCAGCATCACCATCAATATATCAGCATCATCACCGCAGCAACTCCATACACATTTTAGGGTTTGTGCCATCTGCTTTGAACACACAACAAGTACCCCCTTGTTCACAGGGGAAAATGAGGACCTGCCCCAACGCGGCACGATTCTCCGGCGCATAGTCTTCTCACCAGGAACCGCGACTGCATCTGCTGGAAAGTTTAGAGTGTGAGCTTCTGAATTGCCAGAGTGAGGATCATACTCACCATCATCGTGATCCCGTCGCCTCAAATTTAATAGTAATAGTTATATCATCGCTACTGTCGTCGCGCCCATCATTGTCTTCACCAATGGCCACGACGCATGAGCGTGCTCATCAACATCGCATGTCCGTGTGACCGTGGATTGTGACTGTGCCAGCGAAGCTATTGCATCGTCTTGATCATCCTCATGATCATCACCAACATTATCACCGCCATCATCGTGGCATCTCCAGAACCCATAGAGATCTTGGGTTTGCGCCGTCTTCTTTGAACACGCAATAAGTAACCCCGTTGTTCACAGAGAAAGTTGGTTCGGGAAATCTGCCAGAATAAGCTGAAGTTGAACTCCAGCACAAAGTGTTTTCACCAGGAACCACGACTGCAACTGCTGGGAAGTTTGGAGTGTGAGCCTCTTAACTTTCAGGGTCGGAATCATACTCACCATCAGCGTCATCAGTACCGTCGCTTCAATGTAATACCATCGCTACCGTCGTCGCGACCCTCAACTTTATCATGAGCACCACCATCGTCGCGAACACCTGCCTATAGGCAACAGCGTATCCGCGTGGCGTGTCGGTGTGACTGCGGGTTGTGAGTGTGCCAATGAAGCTGTTGCGTCATCATGATGATTGTCATGATCATCAACGCCGTCTCCTTGCTGTTCTTTCATCTACATCTTCATCATCATTATCATCATCAACACCGTGGTAACTTCATATGAGCGTGTGCGCTCATGGAGGTGAGTGTGCCCGGGTGCCCGGCGTCTCGTGACGTCTCGTGGTTTTGCCGCTTGTGCTGAGCGCGGAAAGCTGGTCCGAGCGAAAAGGGAAGGAGGGAGATAGAGAGAGAGAGAGAGTGAGAGTGAGAGAGAGAGAGAGGGACAGAGTGACAGTGAGAGTGAGAGAGTGTGTCCGGATGTGAAGATGTGCGTGTCCGTATATGTACGGGTGTCAAGGTGTGAGATGTAGAGGTGTGCAGATGTGAGAGAGATGGATGCGCAGATGTCAACATGTGTATGTCTGGATATATGCGGATGTATGTTGTTTTAGAAAAAACCCTTCGCTCAGGCGCTCTTGGGAAATACAGTTATATATAACTATATATAGCACCGCAGTTACACTAGTTTCAAGACCAAACCACCGACGCAGTGCAAATGAGAGATTGGATAACATAGGTCCTGGCTGCGTGTTCGAATCGTGGCGATTTCTGTCTATAGTGAATCCAAAACCACAATTTGCCATGCGACCATATACAACCAAAAAAATAGAATCTGACAAACCATGGCCGGGTGATTTCCAAGGCAAAGCTTGATCGGTACTTGGAGAAGGTCGAGAATGACCCTGGTTTGATCGGAGAGGCAGCGGGACTCAAACGCAGCTTGTCACAAGATGCTGTGTGGATGCGTTTTTTTCGAGCGTTTTTGAAATCCATGACCAGTGTGTTTGGTTGGGTTTTTGAACCACGTAACAAAATTACAATTTGTTTATGTGCCCCTGATCATGTATAGATTTGTGTTTCTCATGCATCCGTCAAGCGTTAGCTGTTCTCTCGATTAACAAATTTGCCTTTGTCAACCTGGACACATCCACCATTAAGATCCATTAAGTATGGTTTACGATCCCGGGGGGGGTGCGTAGATGAATGGCTAAAGGGAGATGGGGAGAGCCTTTCCTGCCATTTTTTTTGGACAGTGTTTCTTCTGTTGTTGTTGTTGGAAAATGTTGGAAGGGCGCGGAAAGATAACTGTTCCAATGGTCACATCGGCCTCCTTCCTCGTCTGGAAACAGCGGGATTTGACTTTGGGCACGTGTTTTACTTGTGTAAGTCAAATGCGTGCACTGTCAAAGGCACCTCATGGATGAAATGGGATGGAAATAGTACTTCCAATGGCTACTGCGCACCCCTCTTGAACACGGTGTTCATCTCTCACACGATGTTGGGTCAAAGCGCTATGCTAGCAAGCAAAAGACAGTGGTACCTGTCAGAGCTCAGCGTCTCTGAATTCACATGCCAAGGATGGGAACTGGAAGCAGTTCAAGGTCAGCATGCTGCACAGTGAGAGTGAGTGGTTTTCAGAAGCCACGCCTTTGCCCGACATTTGCATATGGCCTCAATCCAGGTTCTTGAGGTGTAGAAAATGTGGGGATTTTCTCCGATTGGTCCTTCTACGGAAACACATAGTCTATAAAGTACCCGATGCTGTTCCCAACCTCCAACCCGTGTGGCCATGGCGATGTTTGGGTGTTTGAACCGCTCTGCATCTCGCAGCGGTACCCAAAAAGCGTAGCAACAAGTTGGCGAGTGAGAAGGTCCTGATGGAGAAATGTGGATTGTGAACGTCTGTGAAAGTGTTCTAGAAAATTCTGATCGAAGCCTGTCAGGTTTGAACGGCGGAGATGTAGTCGCCAAGAAGCAGAACAGATTTTCCTTGCCTGTGTGCATGGATGACGCAGCAAAGAGATGATCATCGGGACATTCTCAGAAAAGGGACATGCAAACCCGTCTCGTCATTTCATGACATCCTGAGTCTTGATAAACCCATCTGACAAGTCTGACAAGGAGTGACACTCCTGACTCCACTCAGTTTCCTGATGCTTGAACAGGATCTGACTTGGTTTTT